TATTACTTTTTACTTGTACTACTTTTCCTACTTTGCATTTTTTCACTTATCGCAGGGCTTCAGGGTATGGATCCCCCGTGATAAACGAGGGACTACTGTACAACAAAATTACTTTCCATACTGTCGTCCTAAAGATGGACAGAAGTGTAGAAGGGGCTGCAGCTTCTAAGATGCACTGCCCCTTTTGCTTAGATAAGAAAAATGGAAGAAACTTAAGGAGAGAGGTAAAAAATATATGTATATTTTAAATTAATTCAACCTGTACTTAGACAGATTCATTTACAAGTGAGACCTGTTCAGACAGACAAAAAGTAACGAAAGTGACATGTATACGATTTGGAGGAAAAAAAATCCTATCAAACTCTTTCTCCTTTTCCGAAGAGTATTGAAAAAACACATGGCACACAGTGACTTAGACTTTCTACAGAAAGGGGAGACGACAAGAACGATGATCGTGTGAAGGACACTCCAGTATGCACTGTAAAGCCCCAGTATACTGCCACGTACATCCATATGCAGAGGTACGCACGTACATACGTAGAGGTACGAGCGTACCCCCCAGGGCATGTCCGTGCAAAGCTCAAATTTTTACGACCGTATACGCGTACGCGGTGTTGCACAATAAACTGCCCAGCGACGGACTGTTTTGTACTGTATGTGACACCAATGTATTAAATTCCCCTTCTTCATCTCTGATCTGGCCTTTTCTTTTGTTTTTTTTTTGCCAAGAGGCAAGTGATCTCTTCCTCCTCCATTGATGCCATGACTGAAATGGTGAGAAATGAAGGGATTTGTTACAAGAAAATTAAACTCAGGTCCAGCATGGCTGCGGGAGGGTCTGGAGATTTCCTGCTGGGCTGGTCTGATGTGTGGGCTGTTTTTTATTTTATTTTTTAGATCTTTTTATTAACAACATATAAACACAGAACACCGCTGCAGCGGAGGCTGCCAGCGCTCGCTTTTTTTTTTTTTTTCTCCGACCTGTCAATCAATCCAGTAGGTGTGTCTGCAAATGACCAATCGGCGACCTCAATTTGTCCGGAAGGTAAACGCCCCTTGTCTGTGAAGCTGCTCTGCAGCTGCTCAGGGTGTACACTGGATTATGAAGTCTGAACACTCTGCACAGGGGCGCAACTACATATTTTTGAGGTGGATGCGAACACATCATCGGCGCCCCCCCCACCCGCTCCTTTTTACTTGCCGCCTCATACAGCTTAGTCATGCACTTAGAAAATACAGTAGTAATATTACAGATTTTTTTAATGTTACATATTATATCAGGTGATCATTTCAATCATAAACAAATAAGAAGTTTTATAAAGTACAAATATATAACAGTAGTGGTACTCAGTCAGTGCTCAACATTTTATGTAGCGGAAATATGACATCTTAACAGCCTGGAGTCCATGTCAGAGTTTTAACATTTATGACATTTAAACTGTTACATTCCGTGACTTTGCATTTGCCCATTTGTCAAGTATAACATCAAATGAAATAGACCGTGCCACACTGTTTTCAATAGAGATCACTGCTAACTGGGACAAGCGATCATTGCTCATATTTGAACGAAGGTATGTTTTGATGAGCTTCAGCTTGCTAAATGATCTCTCTGCAGATGCAACTGTCAGAGGCATGGTTAAAAATACTCTAAGGGCTACTGTCAAATTTGGAAATACCAAATCAAGGTCCTCTTGAATTAGGAAATTTAACTTTTCTAGAGCCTTGTAACCCTTCAGTAGACGGCTTGCTGGGTATATTTCTTGAATGATATCTCTTGAAACATCACAAGTGGTCAGGGCATATGTGGTCACTGATTCCTCCAGCTCAGCTTTTGTCATGTGCTCCATTTTAGTGATGAATTTAAATTTCTCAGACACAAGTTGAAAATTGGAAAACCTCTCAGACAGCTCTTGGAGGAGTGTGTCAACAATAACATTGAAAACCATGCACCTGAAGTGCCTTGTGGGTTCCTTTTCATGATGACCAGTGCATGAATTGTCATCTGGGAAATTCTTTTGCTTCCTAAGTCGTTTCTCTTTGAACTTAGGAGAAGCATCCATTTCGATGGCTATTTTGCTTGCAATGTCAAGTGACTTCTGAAAGCCCTCTTCTCTATATTTGAGCAAAAACTCTTTCAGAGACTCGATTAGCCTAATGGCTGTGTCCATTGACACATCTGCTGCTTGTAGTGCCTTGCTTGCAAAGTTGATCTCACATAAT